TCATCAGCCTCTGAAAATGATATCTTGGAAATTGAGGCATTACCATTTTCTGTAAGCATGCATAACATTCTAAGAAAGTAAATATATGATTACATACATATATATATATTTATTATTTAGGGGTGAGTTACAAAATGAACCATTGACCGACGAAATATCGCTTTATTTAAGAGAAGATGTAGCAAGTCCAATAACAAATGTATTAGAATGGTGGTCGAATAATAAAAATTCATATCCTAATTTATCTTTAATGGCTAAAGATTTCTTAGCTCAACAAACCACTAGTGTTGCTAGCGAAAGAATCTGTAGTAAGGCAGTGGAATGTATAACTAAAAAGAGAAATAAAATGTCGTCAACAACACTCAAACATTGCATATCTCTAAATTGTTGGGAAGTTGATATTGAATAAAAATTTATTTTTTAAATATGTATATGGCAGTATTATAATGTAACTTATTAATTATATAATAATGGTTTACATAAAAAAGCGCAAATATTCTTTATATTGTTTTTCAATATATAAAATTTAAATATTCGTATATTAATAAAATACCATAAATTCATGTGTTAATTTTTGTTATTGAACTCGTCATTACCAGATAAGTCCAATTTTTTAAAATATTCTTGAATCAAAAATAAATTTTTAAATGAGAATTATCAGCTTATAAATTAATTTACTAAAATATTTTTAATATTCATTATCATCTTTATTAAAAAAACACTGAAAAGTTTTTAAAGGAGATTTATCAGCCACTTAATTAATTTTTCGTAACTTTAGTAAAGGTGATAGACAATAACCTTGAAGCAATATTTATTCATTGATTGTCCGAAAAATAGATGAAATGTTATAATATAAGGCATTTTCAATCATGGAGAAAGAATGTGAAATGAAATTGTAAATAATTTTCATATGTTTTTCGTCTTGCCTTTCTTTCTTTCTCTGGCTCATATGAAATTTAAATATGCCTATTCTTTAAATTTTTTAAGTATCTAATAAAAAAATGAATCAGTTTCATCGATACAACACCACTAGAAAAATCTCATTATATAGAAAGGATAAAAGAATTTACGATTGAAATTAATTATGATCAAAATATTTATGGTATTATAAAATAATATTTATTAATATTAATTATAGTTATTATGCAAAAATAATAAGGAATTCATATTTTGTGGGCTCAAAGATGTTCCCATTTGTTAATACCTTTCTCTCTGTAATAGAATTGCCAATATTTTTCTAATTTTAATTGTAATTACATGATTTTTGTTTCCACAAAAGTAGGAAATCGGTATACCTTTTACTAATGAGATTTTATATAAATAAATTTTTATTTAAAGAGAAATTAGGCTAAATTTAAATTTATTGTATAATGATTCATTTCTAAATTATATTAATCAATCTCCTTTAAAATTTAAATGTTTTGTTATATAATTAAATAGTGTACTCTCCTCAGTCCTCTCCTCACTATAAACCTCACCTACCCTTATATTGTGAAATTAATATTGATAAACTAAAAAAAATTTAAAATAATAAGAGAGAGAGAGTCGGGGGAGATTTTGGTTATTTAATATTATTAAATTAATATTTAAATACAAAAAATTAATGGTGCCAGATAGGCGCTAAAATTATTTAAAATAAGAAATAAAATCTCAAAATGTGATGAATTATTCAATTTAGGCAAATAAATAAACAAAACAACTTATAAAAATAAGGAAAAATATATGAAAATTTCAGAATATACTATTTTTTAAATTAAATTTTATTTTTAAAACATAATAATTGGAAAATCATTTTTCTAAAATTAAGGTATGGTATGGTTATTTATTGAATTAATTCATATATCAATTTTCACGTGGAACTAGATACCGGATTAAGAATAAAAAAAATTAATTATAAGTTGCAATAATCAGATAATTCCGATGATCGATCATAATCACTCTTATCTAGTTTGATTTTGAACCTCATATATCAATATTGAAAAAAGATATTTTTGTATAATTTATTTTCTAGGTTTTCAAAGATGTTTTATTAATTTTAAACATTTATAAGTTTAAAAAAAATCAATTGATAATTAAAAAATATTTATCATATTGATTCCTTTAAATAAATTGTAATTTACACCCTTCTTTTGTGTGATATAATCTTGACTTCATTTATAATTGAATTTTCTTTGCTTTTGGGAAAAAGTGTAAAATTAAATTTTAATCCACGTCGATGTTAGTTACATACAAAAAAAATCCAAAAAGTATTTTTAATCTAATTACCTTCTCTCAACATTAATATCCAAAACAGTAATCGGTACTTTAGTATTAAAAATGAAGCATATATTTTTTAATGTTTACCTAATAAATTTTAAATAACTAATAAGAGTTTAAATTTTTAAATCGGTCCGTTAGCACTTTTAAAATTAGATGAAAGGGCGTAAGCTAAATCCTAGCTCGTTTCAGCAATGATTCTAAAGATCTTAAAATTAACGATTATATTAATTGTCATATGTCACATCCTCATTTAAATTTCAAATTATGTTTACAATTTATTTTACTCTGTTACTTCAAAAAAGTTTAAAAAATAATGATTATGACAATTGTCACTTTTCTATGGTACATCTTCACTGAAATTTTAATTTATCATGTTTACAGTATATATTTTTACCTATTTGCTTCAAAATTTCAAAAAAACTTAAAAATGACGATTATGACAATTGTCACTTTTCTATGGTACATCTTCGCTTAAATTTTATTTTAACATGTTTACAGTATATATTTTTACCTATTTGCTTCAAAAATTCGAAAAAACTTAAAAATGACGATTGTGACAAATGTCACTTTTTAAGGTAGATATTCACTGAAATTTTATTTTAACATGTTTACAGTATATATTTTTACCTATTCATATAATGAGTCATAACTCCTAGACCCATGTTCATAGCAATCTAAGATTTTGTACAAATATAAAGCAATGTGATATCTATCTACAGAAAAAAAATATGTAAAAAAATACCTTTTTTTCTACGGCCATTTCCGGTTTTAAATGTCCATTTTTTGATATTATTCAGATTTCTATTATATTTATTTTTATGTCATATTAAAGATCTATTATTAAGCTACATAATAAAATTTAAATTATTTTTCTAGCATAAGTATTTCTCGAGATATTTGAAAATAAATGATGAGAATTTTGTAAAAAATGTACCATTTTTCCGCCCTTTAAACGCCCATATTTCAGCGGATAAGCGGTATTGGGAGGTAAAATTTTATTTTTTTTTTAGTTATAGTATATACTACCGTGCAAAATTTAAAAAAAAAATGAAGAGGGTAGGGTTGAAAATTGACTTTTTTGTCGATTTGATATGGAATTCACCATATATTTTTATCCATTTGCTTCAAAAAATTTCAAAAAAACCTATAAATGACGATTATGACAATTGTCACTTTTCTATGGTATATCTTCACTGAAATTTAAATAAAACATGTTTACAATATATATTTTTACCTATTTGCTTCAAAAAATTTCAAAAAAACTTAAAAATGACGATTATGACAATTGTCACTTTTCTATGGTACATCTTCACTGAAATTTAAATATAACATTTTTACAATATATTTTTACCCATTTGCTTCAAAAAATTTCAAAAAAACCTATAAATGACGTTATTGTCACTTTTCTATGGTATATCTTCGCTTAAATTTTATTTTAACATGTTTACAATATATATTTTTACCTATTTGCTTCAAAAAATTTCAAAAAAACTTAAAAATGACGATTATGACAATTGTCACTTTTCTATGGTGCATCTTCGCTTAAATTTTATTTTAACATGTTTACAATATATATTTTTACCCATTTGTTTCAAAAAACCTATAAATGACGATTATGACAATTGTCACTTTCTATAGTACATCTTCACTGAAATTTAAATATAACATGTTTACAATATATATTTTTACCCATGTGCTTCAAAAAATTTCAAAAAAACTTAAAAATGACGATTATGACAATTGTCACTTTTCTATGGTATATCTTCACTGAAATTTAAATAAAACATGTTTACAATATATATTTTTACCCATTTGCTTCAGAAAATTTCAAAAAAACTTAAAAATGACGATTATGACAATTGTCACTTTTCTATGGTACATCTTCACTGAAATTTTGATTCAACATGTTTACAATATATATTTATACCTTGCTTTAAAATAATTTAAAAAAAGTTCAAAAATAACAATTTATAATTTTTACCTGTTCCTTCAAAGAAAAATAAATTCAAAAAATATTAAAAATAACTTATATATAACTCATATAGTTATTTTAATGACAAATTCTCACTTTACTTCTTTTTGTTTATCTTCTCTGATTAGTCGACTAAATTAGTCGTTTTTAGTCGACTAATTAGTCGTTTTAGTCGACTTAGTCTACTAATTAGTCTTTTTTATTCTACTAATTAGTCGTTTTAGTCGAAAGTTTTTAGTCGATTTCCTCGACTACGACTATTAGTCTTAGTAGGAAGAAATTAACTAATTAACAACACTAATAAATGGGCTAGAAATTAATAGATGCTTATCACTTGAGTTTTAGCGCAAACCCTAGAATTTAAAATGGAATATCTGGTGATTCGAAATATTGAATCTAGTGGCTTATACCAGATAAAAAAAATATTATTATATCACTTCCCAACATCATTAGGATTTTTCAATCTAATCTAATCATCAATCCAAATTATGAATATTGTCATAGTTTTTGGTATAAGTTACAAATTAATTATCGATTTATAACAATAAATTTCATGAATGACAATTATATTTGACAAACTCAACACTCACATAATGTTGTGGTTTTTAGAAAAACCTGATTTAAAATAAGAAACAAGGTATTTAGTAGAATTTTTCAATATACTGGTATTTTATTTTAATTTTAATTAAAATAATATAAGGTAGAACATTTTACATTTGAAATAGAGAGAAGGAAATATAATATATATAATAAATGTTTAATGATCTACCATGGTGTTCCATAAAATCGAGAACCGTAATAGCACATGTTTGTTGTTTGGGATAATGAAAGAATTCAACCTTAAATGAGGTGATTAAAAGTTTTATAATAATATAATCAAAGACCAACAGGTCGACGTACCCAGATCTGGAACAGTAAAATAGTATGATTATAAAAACGGAGCCAGGCTTAAAAAAATAATTAAATAAAATCACAAGCTTAGTCTTAGTTTGAAACTATTTTTTGTTAAAACTTGGGCCAGGTTAGGCCAATTTAAAATAAATTAATTAAAGCTTTATCAATTTACATGTTGTAAAAATCCCATAATGTAACAATAAACATTTATTTGTGCTTCTATTACTTTCAATTCAATTTCGTTATAAGGCAATTTAAAATTACGAAATAATATTAATCCAAGCCAAGCCGGGCTAAAAGATAAGAAAGGGCCGGGTATTTAATACAGTAAACATTCAATACCTGAATATATTTCTAGGAAAAAATATTTCAAATTTAATAATGGCGTTGATGGTTCGATTCTTGGAGGGACTCCTTTTCACCAATTCAAACTAAATATTTATATGCTAAAAGGTTAGAATATATGAGATATGGGCCAGGGCATGCATGATCTAATGGGACCCTTTAAAAGGGTTTTAAAAAATTAGATAATGACCCAAACTGTAAATATCATCACAATTTAATTCGCATTTAAATCCAACTGATTTTTATTTCCAGATTGCCAGAAAATAATTCTAAATTTTAAAAATCCAGCCAGGCTAAAAATGACAAAATTTTATTTACTGACCTAAAAATTAAACCTACTCTTTAATTCGATGGCATGTTGTATTCTTTTTTACTTTCTATATATTTTATCTATATTATGAATGATTATATAAGCTTAAAAGAAGAAGAAATGATGAAATTACTTGAAATGTATTTTCAGGTACCATAATTTTGACTGGGAAGACACTCAATAAGGCTTTGTAAGCCCCAAGATTTTTATGAACATTGCATGGTTTCATTTTTCCCAGAATATCATAGATGAATTCGACTGCACCCCTTCCATGCTTTCCCTGAGCTATAAACACATTTATGGCATCTATGTATATATGTAAAAAAAATAATATATTAATATTTTTATGAGTAGATCATAAGGCACTTATATTAACAAAGAAAAGTTCTACAATGTTTAAGAGATCCTTGGATATTATTTTAGAGTACACATTACTAAAAAAAGTGTTTCTCAATTTTAATATGGTACTTCCATTTTATGCTAAGAGATAATTTTCATTTGCATAACATAGGACTGTGCCGATATTCAATATCTGATAGGGATCAATATTTTCATTGTTTTTGCTTATATATCATTGTATAATATTTTTATTTTATACATAATTTCATAATACTAATAAATTCATAAAAGGTCTAAAATTCAATTTATTTATAAAGTTTAAAAATAATTGAATTATTTTAAGAGATAGGATAGAGTAGCTATAACTATTACTGCAAAATCTTGGTTAATCACTGCCCATATTTTAAATAAGATGCTTAACATTTGGGGGAAATAAACAAAAAAACAAAATATACTTGAACATTCATGATAATGCACCAAATATTGCTTTGACCATGAGAAATAGAAATTTCAACATTTTGATAAATTTTAAATGAGATTAATTCAAAGATAGGTATGGTAAATAAAAATTAATCTAAATATCAAAAACTTTAAAATTTCCCCTATAGTTTCCCCAATTTTCATAATATGTTTTTGATTAAATAATCACAATTATTTTCATATTTTACTAAAATATTTTTTTTATGTTTGATAAATTATAATTGTGTTTTATTTTTGTATGTATATGTTTATTCTCAATCATTTTTGATATTATAATAATAGATCAACTCAAGTAATGTTCACCTGATGGAAAATTTTTAATTAGCAGAAATGCATTTAAAGTAAAAAAAAATTTTAATCACCAGAAATATATTTAAAATTAAAACATTAATTGAGCTAAGAATAAGGAGGAGAATTAAAGGTGAGAGATGATGGGATAGGTTTTGTGGTTAATTAAAAGTTTGAGATATGAATTAGGTAGGGTAAATTCGTTTTTTTTTAATAACAGAGTTGACAGGAATGTCAATTTCCTTGGGTTAAACTTAAATTTCTTAATTTTTATTATAAAATTTTACAAAATAATATTTGTCTTAATTAATTATTATTATTCTGTCTCATTTGAGATTTAGATATTATTTTACAAAATTCTTGTCAAAATTAAATATCTATAAAAAAGTATATTTGTAATTAATGTAGATGAAATTTAAATATAATATAAGAAATTTTATGATAGTGTATTATATGAAATCAAAGTAAGGTAAATATTGAATTTACAACAGCTGTCTGTGCCAAATTGTTTATTTTCCATAACTCATGTGTGTAATGGAAGAAACTATTTCAATCTTTAAAACCTGTATTTAAAATATCTTCAAAATATTTATCTACTAAAAATTTGTCAAACAATGAATATGAAAAGATTAAAATTATAGTAATTGAAGGATTAGCCCTCATTTGTTATGGGTATACATAATAGGGGAATGCATTGTAAATTTCATTATAGTAACTCCAAGCACTATATTCTATAAATCAATTGAAATAGGGATCTATACATAATAGGGGAATGCATTGTAAATTTCATTATAGTAACTCCAAGCACTATATTCTATAAATCAATTGAAATAGGGATCAATAGGCATACAGGTGGGTGAATATATATATCCAATTTTATTAAAATATATGAAGTAATAAGAAATACAAATACAAATATTAACACCAAAATAATGGATTATTCACTTAATATCAAGAAAGCATTGACACTTGATAAATTTCTAAATAATGAATGCATCGTGTGTGCAACTCATGTACTTAATTTGCCCTTATGGGATATGATATGACAAATAAAATACTGCCATTTCAAATTTAAGTAGCAAAGGTCATATTGTTGTATTATTGTGTTACAAAAAAATGCATTATTCTAATTATGATAATATTCAAAAGTTATTATTTAGATCCCAGTCTATGTAAAGAGATGAAAACAAGTGATAATTGTAGATTTTTTATACTTTAAGTGTTTAACAATTGGAGTTATTCACTTTTCGTTTTTCACAATAATTTCTACAATTTTTTCTATTTCTTATTTTATTTCTTTTAATTTTTCCTTTTATGTTAATTTATAATTGATTAATTTATATATAACTTAATAAAGAAATTAGAATTTGTATTATATTTATTTTATTTTTAGGTACAAAATCTTGTTTCTATAATAACTATTATAAAATCCAACAAGATTGTTATCAACATTTATGGAAAAAGAAGTATTTAGAGATAAAAATAAAATTGCTTCATTAAAATTGCCTAGCCCAATTTGCTGGGCAAGTATAGTTTAATGATTAATAGTCTGATAAAAATAAAAATATATTGGAGGAAATGGCAATACTTTATATTTTTGCACATAATTTAATTTCTCAAAATAGTATAAAAAATTGATAAGAGCAGGAAAATAATTTTTATAACAAAGAAATCTCCAGTTTATGGGTAAGCAACTTCTAGAAATGGCAAATTGATAGTCTCATATTTACAAGGACAGATCTGGAATCATTTTTATCATTAAACAAAGATAATTAATAATCAAGATATCTTGTTAATATTAACTAAGAAATTTGTAATTAATTTAGTTGAGCTATAATTTTTTATTTTTTAAGGAAAATATGTTTAAAAACAATATATAAGATTTCCTAAACATGGAAAACAATATTAACCAGTAAAATATTTTTTAAAAGAAAATTTCCTGGTTTTTCTAGTTGTTTTCTTTAATTATAGTTTCCCAAGAAATTGATATACCTAAGATCCATACAGTCCTAATTTGCAGACACATTATTACTCCCTTTTCTCTATAATTTTTTTATAGTTTTAAATACCTAGGCATATTCATAACATTTAAATAAATTTTTTTTTATATTTTAAATATTTTCAGAAAATTTAAGTTTAAATATTTCAAACATGCTAAAACATTTTAGGTAATCTGAACAAAATTCAAAAATATGTTTGGAATCCCATTTTTTGAAAGTAATATATTATATAGTCATTTGTCCATCACTATTTACCACATATACTTTAATAAAAAAAGGTTGAATTAAAAACTGAGATTCTTATATAGTGAATCTTGTTTATAACATTATAATCGAAGACTATAAAATCGCAATATTAACTTATATAAAAACTAAACCAAAGTAATTTTTCCTAGGGTCATCATTCTTTTGTTCTTTAAATATTAAAATTCGATTTTTAACAGAAGAATCCTCTTGCCTACCGTACTTATCGGCATCTAGTTGTTTCGAACATAATTGTTTAGATAGGATGTTCTTTTTAAATATAATTATATTTAAAAATTAGTTGTATTATTACTTTATTAGCGAAAAGATTGTTAAATTTTGTTAAAAACATATGAAATGTTAGCAATGGCGTGGCGCCATGGCCAAATGCCTATGCAAAGCTCCAATTTTTAAAATACAGGGTAAGGAAAAAATATAATAATAGCCTGGAATGTAAAATATAGGGTAAGGAAAAAATATAATATAATAATACCCTGGATTTTTAATTTACAAATTAGTTGAAAATTAAATCTGAAAATTTGAATGAATCTTAATTAATAGCTCATTAATTTTTTAGGATCATATTTACTATTTACTTAAAAATTTTTAAACTTTTGTTAGGAAATGTGAAGATAAATTCACCTTTAGCTTATTTTTCTCTTTTATGGAGACTGTTGTTGTAATTATTTAAAAATAATTATATATATTTTATATAACATGTCAATCAAATATTTTAAAATTAAATATATTTATAAGATTGATAATATTTTTATTTTATTAAATTCTTGGATAATAAATAAAAAAATTAGAACTCAAATTCTGATCTTAAACTAATGGTGCACATCAACAGATGATTTATTTATTCTGAGTTAAATAAGTTATTATAAAGAAAATTTATTCTGTGACAAGGTTCACATCGTAGAAGAATTCTAGAACAGGCTTTCTAATAAATAGTCTCATTAGGAAACACAAATAAAAAAAAAATTTTATATTGTTTCCTAAATTTAAAAAATAAATTTATATATATATACACAACGCAAATTTTGGATAATTAATTATAAAATAATTAAAAATTTTGGTAATAAAATTTTCTTTAATACATAAATAAAAACGAGGGGCTCCATACATCTTACCTTCAACAAATAATTATAATACAATGGTGATAGGAGAAGAAGAAGATTTTACTCAATATGCAATGATGAGAGAACGATCACAAACTCCTATAAACAATATAAAATGTTTTTTATGTGGGAGATTAGGACATAAGATTATAAACTGTCGAGCTAACTTTGGATCATTACCAAGAAAAAGGATATGGAAAGTTCCAAGTTTCGCAGCCAAAAGGAATCGTCTCAAATTCTGACACGAATAATTTTATGAGGCGTATCCGAAGAGTCACGAAGAATTTTTTCCACGAGATCTGGGGCTAAGGATCACTATTCAACATCGGAAGCTGAAGCCTCCTCGAGAGAAATACAAAAGTTTGAAGATATGCTATTAGCCAACCCTGAAGAAGAAAAATTAGGAATCAAACCTATATCTCATCCCAAATAAAGGGGTGGGATGTTGTAAATAATGATAATTAATTTTAAATAATTTTTTTTTTAATATTATTTTTTTTTTTTGTTGAAAAATCATTATTAATATTTTTGTTTGGAATTTTTAAAATAAAAAAGGTTTTCGTTTTTGTAATTTTATCTTAATATATTTTTTTGTGTGAAATAATTTGAATAAAATAAAGTGGCAACAATCCATCTTTGTATTATTTAAATAAAAATAAGTTGTAACAATTTACAATTTATCCTAGAATAATTTAATTTTAAAAATAAGTCGCAACAGTATTATTGGAGATAACTCCAAAAAATATGTTATGGAGAAAAAATCTCTGAAGTACAAGTTAAATTGAATTTCTATATAAAATATTAATAATTTGTAATATTTCGTAAATAATGTAATACTTTGACAATTGGTTTTAATATGACCTCCTATAGTTGCATAGAAAATTTAAGTTATAGGATCATCTGTTAAGTTCATCTGTTATATTGAATTTCAATATAAAATATTAATAATTTGTAATATTTTGTAAATGTATATATATATGTTTATTAACATAAAACTAACATTTAACATTAAAAATCCCAATCAATATTAATAATTTGTAAATAATATATTATTTTTTCCAAGCATCCAAGATCTTAATAATTTAAAAAGATTTTCTAAAATTTTGAAAACCAGGCCAATATTAATTTTGAGAAATATTGTTTAAGACCAGTCCATCTCATAATAATTTTGAAAACCAAGCCAATAATATTTTTAAGAAATATTTTTGTTATATATGCATAAAAAAACATGTGAATTGGTGATTATTGTCATTTTTCTATAGTACACTTCACTTAAATATTAAATTAAAGTTTACAAAACATATTTTAACCTTTACCTTGAAAATGAGAAAGCCTGGGCAAACCACTTATTAGAGAATCATGACAAAATAAGGTCTACCCTAATATTATTATAAAAATTAAAAATATTACCTCGTATTATTGGAGATAACTCTAAAAATAAAGTTATCGAGAAAAAATATCTGGCGTACAAGTAAATTGAATTTCTATATAAAATATAAATAATTTGTAATATTTAGAAATAATGTATTACTTTGACAATTGGTTTTAATATGGCCTCCTACATTTGCATAAAAAACGTAAGTTATAGGATCATATGTTTGTATAAAATAAATAAATAAATCAACAAATTAAAAAAATAAAAATACGTAAATCGGATAGTTTTAAAATTAATATTGAAATTAATGAACAAATTGTTGATATAGAATTTAATAAATTAAATAAAATTTGTGATGATATATCTGTTTTAATAGAGATATATGGTATAATTTTTAAAGACACTTTGGGATGTCTTAATGATTATCAAGTGTATGTGAAACTAAAATAGGGATTTTCACCTATTTTTTTAGCATGTTGACGAGTTCCTTTTGAGTGGAAAAAGGAAATTGAAGGCGAATTAGATCGTTGGGTCATATATAGTATTATTATTTCGGTAGAATATAGTAAATGGATCACAACATTGGTTCCTGTTCAAAAATAAAATAGAAAATTGAGACTATGTGCTGATTTTCGTGTAAATTTAAACCGGTGGGTTGTTGAAGTTAAATATCCATTGCCCAGAATTGAAGATTTGGTTTTTTGAAAAGTGCGAAATATTTTTCTTTACCTTTAAAGGAGGAAATTTGTAAATTGTTAACGATAGCGACTTCTAAATGATTAATCTCATTTAGCGTTTGGATTAAGTGTGTCAGCATCTAATTTCCAAAGTACCATGGCATCTGTTTTCCAGAAGCTAGAAGGTATATTTTATTATATGGATGATGTTTTGATAACTGGGGTGACACCAAAGCAGCATAATCAACGTCTTGGAGAAGTTTTTAAGATAATTCGTGATAACGGGTTGAGAACTAACAAAAAAAAGTGTTCTTGGTGACCGATATAGTGTATTTGGGTCATCATATTAATGGGGTTAAAGTGAAACCTCTTGATAAAAATTTAAATAATATCTCTAATATGAACAGGATTGCCATGTCTCCCTCCAACAGCGGGAGACTCCCGCAATTTTTTAGTTTACACGCAGACATCTCTCTCCCGCAAAACTACCACAAATGGAAACCTCCCGCGAAAATCTACAGCAATTTTTTAATTTCTCCCGCATTTTTTTAAAAGTATTTTAACGTTTTTAAAATATTAACAATTTTGAGAGACAGTAATTGATTATTTTTATATTTTAATAAATTTTGAATATTTATTTGAAAAACATGTGCAGTTTATAAATTTTTTTCTATCCTGTCTTATTTTTATCTAATAATAAATCAACATCATTTCATTCATATAAGTCAGTACAGGGGAGTATATCACAGCGATTGCAATACAAAAATATTCTCCAAAAATAATATTGAAATGAGTACAATAATATCTTATTATGTATTTAACTTAATACGTGATAATTAAGCGCCTATCCCTATAATGTTATACACACACACGGTAGATTTCCAAATGCGGTCGTTTGCTGGACATTCGCATAAAATATATTTTTAATTTTAAAATTAAAATCGTTTTTTTATAAAATTTTATCTTGTTTACATTCTTTTATATTTAAAAAAGATCTTTGGTTTTTTTTATTATTATATTTTAATAAATCAAGATAAAAATATTTACCAACTTTGCATTTATAAAAAATAATAAACGGATAATTATGTCAATTGGCCAGCAAAAAATTTCTTTTTAGCAATTTTATATTTCTACCGCAATTTTCATATTTCTCCCGCAAAATACTAAATTTCTCCCGTAATTTGAAAATTTTGACTTGGCAACCCTGAATATGAACTAGCCAAGTAGTAAAGCTGAAGTACAGTCTTTTTGGGGCAATTGCAGTATAAAAGATAGGAGTTTATTTTGAGTGAAAAATTGAACAACTAAATGCTTTTTAAATTTTGAAGAAAAAAATAGATGAAGAACATATTTTAGTGTGTTTTAATAACGATTTAGAAATAGTCTAAGCCGTAGATACATCTAATAAAGGTGTCAGAGGAGCGTTATTACATTTAATTTATGGTTTTCAAGAATTTTTCATGAAGCTGTTATTGAATAGGAAGCCTTAGCGGTTATTTTTGGATTAACCAAGTATCGTGAATATTTACTTGGTAAAAAATTTGTTTATATTGATCATAAACCTTTGATTCATTTGTTTGAAAAAAATAACAAAGAATTAATGATGTCCCCGACATTACATTGTTGAAACTTGTGGGAAGATTTATTGTGGAAATTAAATATCGGCGAGAGAAAAAGAATCATTTGTCAGATATTTTGTATAGATTAGGAACGGGGTGTGCAGGTTATGAAATAATTGACAATATAATTATAGATAGAGAGGATGTATTAGTTCGTACTCTATCATATAGTATATTAAAAAGAGATCCTACAATTTGGAAAGATCTTAAATTAAATACCTACTGAGACAAGGATTTAAATCAGTTAAAATTGTGTTTAATGGGTGAAAAACATTGGAAAAGCAAACATGATTCATATAAAAAATACAAAAAGAATTTTCAATTGTGGACGATATAATGCATGGAAATCGTATAATACCATGTAAATTGCGTGTGAGGTTTTATGTTTATTGCATCCAGTCATCAAGGCAGAGATAAAATCATGGGCGCGTGAATATATTTGGTGGCCTAGCATGAATTTGGAAATTGAAAAAATTACAAACAAATGTGTTCCATGTAATACCTGTGCATCCATGCCCCGTAAAGAAATGTGAAGTGTGTGGCTAAAGTCAAGTCAACCATGGGAAAGGGTCCACATTTATTTTTTTGATAAGGATAAAAAAAGATAAAAAACATATTTTTAATTGTTGATTGATAATTTAAGGGGAATGAATATGAAGAAGTTCATGGGTTAATGAATAAGTTTGGTATCAAATAATTACAAAAGTTGTGGTCAAAATTTGGAATTTCTGAAACAACTGTGTCTGATGAAGGTCCAGCGTTTATAAGTAAAAATTTTAGACATTTTTGTACTTCATTACAAATAAAACTTGTGTTAGCTCTACCATATCATCCTATCTCTAAGGGTCAAGCTGAAAGTATGGTAGCCAGAGTGAAAAATTGAATTTAAAAGGCCAAACAAGAAAAAAATAAGATTTGGATGGCACAGTTATATTATAATAATTCCAAAAATAAAAGGGGTGTTACTCCTGTTGAATTGTTTCTGGGTCGAAGAACAAGATTGCCCTTAGATTTTTTAAAACCAAAAGGCAATGCTATTATATTACCATGTGAGAGAGTAAATATAAAGCTGTGGGATATATTATATGGACTAGTGTTTTCGACAATAAGAATAAAAAATAGGAGAAAATGTGGGTAAAAATTCAATAGTATAAAATTTGTAAGCGGAACTATGAGAATTCGCCACAATGATCATATAAAAAAAGGGGAATAATAAGAAATGTGAAATTATTATTAGATGTATATAAAAAAAAATGGTATCTTAATTAACCCAAATATTTCTAATATTATTAGATGCATATATAAAAAAGATGTATATTAATTAACCAAATTATTTCTGACTCAATTGACTTTTTAGATATTATTTTAATTATATCTTAGGAATCATATATTGTCTTAATGTGATAAAGGAAAGGAATATTAATTGACATTAGATATTAATTCTATTATACCTTAGCAATTATTGTAATTTCTTAATTTGATAAAAGAAGATTATCTAAATTTTATCTTCATAATTGTTGTAATTTCTTAATGTAATAGAGTATATTATTTCAATTCCTTCTTTGTAACTGTTGTCATGGTAAAATTTATTGTAAGTTTATCTGTTTAAAATTTAATTTATTATTATGTGTCAAGTGTAATAATAAATAAATAATAGAAGAATAAAAAGAAACATATAAGATATTTCATAAATTTAATAGATAATTTGTTAAGTGAATTCATTTAATTTTAACATTAAATTTTTGATATACATACTAAGTGATGGTATGATAGTATATACATAGTATACACATGAGTGAGATTGTTTATTAATGTGTCGAGTACTTATTTAATTTTTTGATATGCATATTTGTGATATTATATACACAAGTGTGAAAGCGTATATTAATTAATATCATTATTGTGAAAGTGTATATTAATCAATATTATTATTATTTTTGAAAAATTAAAAAAAATTAATAAATCATAATATTTTTTTCGTAGAGTAAAAATGTTTTTTTTTGAAATTAATTAATTAAATATAATAAATTTAAAAAAAATTTTTGGATTAATTTTATATCGTAATAAAAAAATATGTATAATAACGATATAATCTCAGTAAACTGCGAACCCTTTTATTTACAAATGATAATTATTCCAAAGAAACCAAAAAAGTTGCAAATATATTGGGGACAAATAAAAAAAAATAAAATAATTAATAAAAAGAATAAAAAAAATACCAAATATGCCATGCAAGGTCCGACATCTTCTAATGCACGAGAATGTTTTCGATCCCATTCCTTTCAACATCTAATGATGGATTGTGATGTACCATCTTATGCATTAAATCAGCAAAAATCAATATGTCATATTCAAAAGGAGAAAATGAGGCCAATGGGTTCAAACAAGTATAACCAGGATCTAAAAAATGTCTAATCCAGAAATGCAACCATAAGACAATATGAGGGTTTCTAATGAATTATCAAAGGGATGAAGAAAATAAAAATAATAATGAAACGATTGAATACTCAGAAAATCAAAGCCAAAATACATTGATAACAAATATTAATGAAATGGAAGAAGCAGCGCTGCAATGAAAAATAATCCATACTTAGTTTTATATGAACTTAATGATTTTTAGATTCTAGATAGTATAAATATACATATATTGATTATTTCGACGATATATGTCCTTCTCCCGTTAGGGGTGGACATGTTGTAATTATTTAAAAATAATTATATAGTTATTTTATATAATATGTCAATCATTTATTTTAAAATTAATTATATTTATAAGATTGATAATATTTTTATTTTATTAAATTATTGAATTTTAATCTAAACTCAAATTCTGATCTTAAACAGAGACAAATCACTCTTTAGCCAATTTTGACTTTTTAAAATTTTAGACATTAGTCGTTATTGTGATAGATTATATTTGTATAACCTCAGTGACAAAGCGTCAAGTTTACTATTAGAGAAGCAATCGATAAGTTTTTTAAAAATTTATATTTAGTCAAACCATAAAAAAATTAAAATATATTAATAAGTAGAAGTCTTTATTTTTGGTAAAATTATCAAGTAATGAATTATAAAAATTATTGTTAAATTTAAAAAATTTTTAATTAGTTTTTTTCAATGAAAATCATAAATAGATTTAAAATTAAAATTTTTTTAATTTTATATTTATTCTTCAAATATTAGAGAAATATCAAGGGGAAATAAATAATACTTATATTTTATTTATATATAAGTTTTAATAATATATATATTTTAGTCTTAATATTTTTATTATATATATATTTATTTAAATTATACGCTCATACATATGAGATAAAATTTGCACTTAATTACTTTTATTCTTTAGATAAAAAAGTGTTAAATAAAAGTTTATCAATGTATTTTAAAGGTATATATAAACAGAAACAGATACCTCTGATATAGTATATAGAGATAGACCGATATTTTTTATCAACTCTGATAGTCTTAATAAATCTTCAATAATATAATTACAATTATTAAACATTAATTATTGCTTTAAAAAAAAGATTTATTTAAAAGTAAGGAAATAAATATAATAAAATAAATTTTTTTCTCTTTTATATATTAAAAAAATAAACATATTTTTATTTGCTTCCCCAATGTTTATTTTTTAAACGCAAAATTACACAATACATTTGCATGATTTTCTTTATATTTATTAAAAAAAATAGGCAATATTAAATTTGCATCCCTCATGTATATTTTTTTTAACATAGAAAATATAATTTTTTTAACGTTGATACGTAATTCTTCTTAACGTAATAATAATAATATTAATAATTTTTTTTTTAAGGAAGCTTCGATACTATATAATTTTTTAAAGATTTTTAATGTGGATTATTAGTTTAATTTTTTGGATCATATGGGTGTAAAATTTTTAATAAAAAGCGTAATTTTACTTTACCCTACCTAATTTAAGGGTTCTTATAATGTTTTCCAAAAATAAAAGAACTCAAAGTCCTTTACTAAAATCTAAGCATGCATACTCTTTAGATTACCTAAAGTATTAACTATCTATTTTTATCAATATAGCAATTATTAAGATTATTATACAACATACTCCTCAAAAATCAAATAATAACTGAAGAAAATAAAGATTTATTAATTGAAACTCTTAGATCAATATCAGAATTATTGATATGGGGAGATCAAAATGATCCATCATTATTTGAGTATCTATATTTTTTATTTGTAATATAATAAACTTTATTTAGTTTTTTTCTTGAAAAGAATATGTTATTATTTTTCATATCATTTGCTAAACAAGATTTAATGGGAGGAAAATATTTGAGTGTGCAATTGCTTCAAACTCTGAATATCTTGTTTGAAAATATTAGGTAAATTGAAAATTATATGTTTAGTTTATCATTATTTTTGACATTTCTTTATATCTTATAGCTATTTAAGCTATAATTGTTGTTATTGAAATATATTTCATGTTTTAATTATTTTAATCTTTATAGATCTGACACATCTTTATATTATTTGCTTTCAAACAATCATATCAATACACTTATTCAACATAATTTTGACTTTACTCAAGAGGAAGTAAGAATCAGCTTATTTAATATATTCATATTTATTCAACTAGTTTTATAGTAAATATTTTTTAAAAAATACATTTGAAATATAGATAAACTATTGAGAATTTATATATATACATATAAATATCATAATTATTCACTCCAAAATTATAAAAACAAATGATACATGCTGAGATATATTGCTTAAAAATTTGGTGGGGGGAGGGGGCTATTTCATATTTTATCAAGAAATATATATACAAAATCAATTTTTTTTATTTTGAATATTAATACTATTCTATTTATATTCTATTCTAAAAATAAGGTCACAAAATACCACATATATTTTTAGAAATTTAAATATATATAAGTATGAATTCAAAATATTCTATAAATCTTTCATTTTTGGGGGTTTATTTTTCTCCATTCTTTTGTGATGATTCATTTGTCATATTTTGATATATAGATCGTAATCCATTCTGATATTGAAGCTCCATTATTTATGTACATTAAGTTTTAGTATTTACTCTTAAACTTGCTCAATTATCTACATTGATCAAAATCATAAGATGAAAGCCCCTTTCACTTTCAGCAGTACTGCAGGATAAAGTATCCATAGTTAAGACATTTTTTAAAGAGTTTAATTAGAATTATTTGAAAGTTATTAATGATGGCTCATTATATGTTTTAAATTAGTATCAGGAGGTTGTTATAAAATAATGAGTGTTTTTTAGGGAGTAGAGGTTGGTTTTTGGATGGGTGTGCTTCTTCTGTTGGACTTACATAATATTTATTATTATCAACATTTTTCTGATAAATTTTTTTAAATTTTAGTCAATCAAAAATATATCATTGGCAAAATTGATTATTCTTATCAACTAATAACCGACTTATTTGGAAATTTCATATTCTATTTAAACATTAAAAAGAATTTGTTAAATTTGGACTATTTCTTGCCTTTAGTTTTGTATCGGTTCAATCCTAACTGTCAAAAAAATTTGCTAAGTTTTTTCACGATTGAGCTATCCTTTAATTTCATAAAATGAGGCTAAGATCATGGTTTTAAAAATTAAGGTTAGCCTTTTTAGAGTTAGCTCAAAACCTACAACAAATGAAGCAATTTATCACCGTACTTGTTGATGCTGAACATTCTGAACTTTAAATAAAGCAGAAGTGATTACAACATAAAATTTCTATAAAAATAAAAAATATTGAAAAATAAAAGTTTTTGCTATTTTTTTCTATGTGACTATAAAAAAATATAAAAAAGATTTTGACTATAAAAATTTTAATTTTTATACAATAAAGAAAAAAGGGATTTAAATGTAATACTTTTGAAAAATTTGTAATTTTTTGGGTGGAGGGGGGAGGTGTGGATCGGAAGGGCTCAACTAGTGTTGTAATAGTTACATTATAAGTTACTTTATACATCATTCATATAATCAGGGTTGGGCAAATTTTCAGAAAATTGTATTCGGATACAGATACAGATACTTTATAAAATTTTGTATTTAAGATACAAGATACTAGATACTTTAGAAAAATTTCAATAAGATATAAGATACAAGATACTTGTATTTTTTTTAAAAAAAGTATCTAAGATACAAGATACTTTTTTAAAAAACTTTAAATAGTCAAAATCAAAATGTATAAAGCTTTATTTCTTATCTATAATATAAATTTATAAAAAAATATTTAAAATAAATTGTAGAAAATAACAAATTTATTATAAAAGATAATGCGATATTCCATTTAATAATTATATAATTAGTAAATAATAATAAATCAGCATCATAAATCAGCATTATTTTTTAATATTATTAATTTTTCAAATGATTTATCGTTCAATCTTTGACGATTTGGTCTATTAACCATATTAGCAAAGCTAAATAATCTTTCAATGGGGGCTGAGGAGGGTAATATTGTGTTATATTTAATAAATATTTCTTTTATATATTTAATAAATATTTCTTTTATATATTTATAACTATTTAACATATTTATACTCCGCATGTCATCTTTCATATAATTTAGTACCTCTATTTCAATATCATTTATTGAATTATTAGAATTGGATGTGGTACTTTTAAGGCAAAAGTAATCATCATTTTCATCAATTGAAGATTTTGTTGAAGTATTAATTTTAATATTATTTTTAAAAACAATTAAAACTTGTAATAACAAATCCTGAAGGTATTTTTTTTCTTTTTCACCATCAATTCAACGATTTTTAAAATAGGGATGAAAAATAGTTGCCAAAAATGCACGTTTAACATTGTTATCAAAATCATATATATTTTTAAATCTTTTATTTAAATTCTATGGCAACAGCTAATGGTTTGCAAAATTGTAGATTGGTTTGAATTAAATTTGTAATTTTTTTTTAACGACATTTAAAATTGGAGCTGATTCTCCATAATAGCAGTTGATTTCACTCTGTATTTTGTCAATCGCTATAGCCAATGGAGCCATTATATTGCAATATTCTTCTAAATATTGAATTTCAATAGTCTCTTAATTTAGGAAATTCTAATTTTTGACATAATTTAGGAAGTTCGCCTTTAAATTTTAATAAACTATGAAGATTATCATACAAACTATTCCATCCAGTGCAACAAGGTGTAACTAATTGTTTTCCTAAAACTGGTTTGATAAGTTCTGCAGTTTTAGGCCTATTATTTGCATTACATAGCTTAGTACTATTGCAGGATGATGAATTTTAGAAATGTTAGGAGAATCCTTAATAGCTCTCTCGACATTTGTTGTGGCAATTAGACTTATCGTATGGCACAAATAACGAATGTGTTGAGGCAATGTTATTGAGGCTTCTTTAGACCCTTAAATAAACAAATAAATAATTTTATTTGAATAAAATTTTTTACAAAATTTACAAAATTTACAATATCATAATAAATTTTAAAGAAGTATTAAATTATACTTTCAATGTTTTCGAATTCTATACATTCATCATCATTGATATCAAAGTCATTCTCTTCAGCTACATAGAATATCCAAACTCCTTGAAAGCTTTCTTAAAGTTAGAGCCGTTATCTGTAACAGTTGCTATAACTTTTTCGTCAATACCAAAGTCACGATGAATTTCTTTATTATGATCATCTTGAAGTACTTCAAAAAATTTGCCATTAAGTATGCTTAGTTTAAATTTATTGTTATAATTTTCGGTTGAAGATTCATCTGAAGACGAAGATAAACATATTATTCTATTTTCTTCTTCCATGATTTTAAAATAGACAAATATAAAACGATTCAAATATGGTAGTTCTAATTGTTAGCAAATTGCTATATGACGACCAACGTCATATATCAAAAATTATCTTAAAATATCTAAATTTTGATTAAATTTTTCATTTAAATCTTAAAACAATATCATTTTAAATTTTAATACTATTTAAATTAACCAATATAAATTTTTTTTAAAGTATCTGTATCTTTTTGAATACAAAGTTGGTTAAGATACAAATACTTTTAAATATATGTATCTTAGATACTGGATACAAGATACTTTCCAAAATTTTAAAATGTATCTTAGATACAAATATCCGCGATACTGCCCAACCCTGCATATAACGCATTTATTTACTGAACGAATTTATTTAATATAAAAAATTATGATATCCAAATTATAATAATTTGCAATTTATTTATATAAAAAAATAAGCAAACCGAAAAAAATATCGGAAAATAGAATATTTATATTTACATCGAATAAAAATATCCTATATATTTGCAATAAAAAAAAACATTTATTTTTCATAAAAATTTGAGTTTAATAAATGTTTATTTGCTTTTAACAACAATTGGATTAAAATTTTTATCTAGGAGACGCGCTCGTTTTTTTCCAAAGATGAGCTTCCCTAGACTGAATAAACTCTCTACAGGAGCCCTTGATGTAATAACACTATATTTAATAAAGAGTATTTTTAAAATTGGAAAATCACCATATAAAGATAATGTGCTGTTATAGGATTTAATAAAATTTTCACTAAATTAATCATTATCAATAATATTTTGACGCTTCAAATCAAAAAATCCAACTACATCTAATGATGTTTGTTGCGAAAATGAGCCATTTGTGTTAGATTCACCGCGAGGTATTAAAGTTTAATTAAATTTAAAATTTCCATCTTTTTTGATCTATTTCGAGTAATGTTTCATCCAAATGTTTTATATATTGAGATTTTTAAATTTAATGAGATAAGAGACATTACAAATTTATATTAATTAAGTTACAAAAAGTATGATCTGGTTACAAATTTTAAACCAAATTGATATAATTATCCTGATACCTAGGTACTTAAAATCTAAAAATATATTTAATATTAAATTTAAATAAGGATAAATTAGAAAAAGTTGCTCTATGCTAAGAGGTTTTAGACTAGGGTGTAGTGTTGTTAAACGGCTCATTTTGAGCAGATTTTTGAAAACGGCTAACTCAATATTTCATTCAGAATAGTATTAGGCAAGTCTTGAATATTTTATTTGTAGAAGGAACAAAGGTTTGGACATCTATTAGCGAAATCTCGAGGCTTAAGCAATATTTTTCTGGCTAAAATATTGAGTTAGCCGTTTTTAAAAATCGGCTCAAAACGAGCCGTTTAACAACACTACTAGGGTCTTAGTAAAAAATTAATAAATGTTTATTTATTATAAAATGATTGATATTTACAATATTTATTGACCTTAGTAGCCTTTAATGAATATTTTGGATTACCTTTCAATTAATATAATGTTTAGTTGAAATATAACTTAGGTTTTTATCAACCTATATTTTAATTGAAATGCCTAGAGAGATTATTGCTAAACATAGTGGAGAAAAAACACTTATAGTTTATTCTTACAATGAATTAATTTAACCTATAAATAGTTGATATTATAATTTCATCAGGTTAAATTGGTCACTTCCAAGTAGAATTTCAATATGAGATATATTTAATAAGGTGATTAAGGAAAAAATAATACATAAGGAATTGAGTTAATTATAAAGCTTAGGTTTAGATAGGAGAA